CACACACACGGCCCAGGGTGACAGGACGGCAGCAGAGGGCCGGCACCGAGCGCCGCCAGCCGGCCCTCCCACCCGCAAGCCGGGACCCACAGCTCCCCACAGCGCCCTGCGGGCAGGCCCTGTAGCCCCTCTGCTCTGGGGGTCTCCATCCCCRCCTCTGCGCCCGCCCCACACCAGGCATGGGCAGCAAGCCTGGCACACCCCGACACGGCCTCTCCATGAAGTTTCTCACCAACATGTGGGGTTCTCTTCCCCTTTGCACACCCCCCAATACACACATGCCACCCCACACTCGCCTCAAGGTACCGGAGGCTTAGAGCAAATCTCCAAAAGGAAACTGGAGCACGTGGGTAGCACCACGGCACAGACGCCTCTTGCTGCCGGTTGGCAACATCTGCCAAGGCCAGAGGAAGGACTGGAATCAACAAAAACAACATGGAAATCAACACGGAAATAAAATACATGAAGGTACTAGTTCTTCTACTGTTTTGAGAGAATATTTAATATAAAAAAAAGATAAATTAGTTACAGACAACTTATGAGTAGTGGTTAGCAGAAGAAGGCCTTTCCATTTACAAACACACAAGACTCCTGCTAGTGGGGTGTGTGTGTGTGTGTGTATATATATGCATATATATGTGTGTGTGTGTGTGTGTGTGTATATATATATATATATATGCATATACGAACACACACACACATATATATATATGTATATATAAATGTGCCTCCATGTTCCTGAAAGGTCTTCCAAACTGCAATGGTGAGACACTGCTGACCGCCTCACTTCTTTACAGAGGGGTATCTTGCTCTCAGAAATGATGGAAGAAACACCTCGTGCTTTTGTTCTGCAACGGCCCCTCTGGCAGGGAAGGCCTCCAGGACACGGGTTTTTAAGGCTTCTTAAGGAACCTGCTCAAGACCAGGGGACAATGGAGCAGAAACCCAAACCCAGCATTCCCGCAGGATTCCTACACAGGCTGCAGGGCTCACTGACCCCCCTCCCCACAGGGGTTGCCCTCCCAACCACCTCACCGTCCTGCCTGAGAGCCCTGGTATTCTACTTACCCGGGACAGCATCTTCCCATGCTCTTATTTACTGCATTTCCTTCCCATTTCACATGATCACAGAAAAAATATGATTAAAAAAAAAAAAAAGGACATAGTTTAAAGCACAAAGTGCTTGCCTAGCACTCTGCCATTAGTCACAGACAAGCAGAACAGCTGCACCGAAAGTGTCATGCAGGTAAAATGATTGCTTTTGTGGAGTGCAACAGGGACATTTCATATGCACACACCAAAAAGAATCATCACATCTCAAAGGGGAAGTTCAAAACGCAATTTAAAAAGCTGAAACTTGCTGTGCGAAAGTTATTAGAAAACCAAGAAATGTTGTGCAAAGGTATAATCCCCAAGGTGGTTCTAGTTTTTGAAAGAGAACTTTGGATTTCTGCAGTGTAGGGTTCATCTCCATAAAGGCAATGTGYACTCAAAAGGGCAAAGCTAACGGGGCAGCTCTGCGCAGCCTCCGTTCCCCTCCCCTAAGGGGGCTGTTTCGCGCACGCGCTCGCAGGGAGCGGCGCGCCGAGCCCGCTGCCCTTCCACACAGAGCCGTTTGTGCCGTGCACGCTTCCCCGTGCCCGTCGCTGCAGGCGGTCCGGCTGCTGCTGCCCGGCAGATACAACGCCTATCAGCACGGTTATGTTCCCTTTCTGGTCTTTTCTCTTTTATTCCCTTGTTACTTCTTGATGTATTCTCCACTGCTGACATGGCCTCACACCCCTTCTGACAGCAGGGCCGAGTCCTCCCTGTCAGGCTCACCAGGTCCATGCTGACCTCCATCCCACCCGGATGGGCCACCAAGAGCACTCGGCTGAGTGTGTCTAAAGCTAGAGACATGCATCACATACATCACATTCACCAGTGCTACGCTGCAGAGCCACCAAAGACAGAACAGGCTTGGCCAATAGCTGAATACTCAGCAAAGCTCCTATACATCCCCCCCTAAAGCATCAAATCCATACAACACGACGTAAAGGACAAGTGGGAAGAATCCAGGCTCTTTCATAGTTACAGCTTTCAGAGAAGACTCGGTCATTTCAAGGCTAATGTTCGATGAGGCAAACAGCCTTTGCACCACCCCAAATCTTCCCCTGYGAGTGAGGGAAGCCACCTCCGGGCTGCTCAGGGCCAGGCTGCCGTCGGCTGAAGCGACGTCAGGCTGCAGTTATGGGAAAGAGCAAGAGACAAAGACGTTATTCCAAGCAGAGCTGCGCTGGCACCACAGGCCTCACTTTCCCCTCGGACAAACCCCGGGGTGCTTATGAGGTGAGGGGGAAGCCTCTTTCCCCACAGCACCTGAGCAAGGGCACGAGAGGCTCCTAATGCTGGGACACATTCCCGCTGCCTGCCCGAGCGGCAGCAGCCGGAGCGCTGCTCCCACCGCTCCCCACGCCGCTCCCCATGCCGGTTCCCCGCTCCGTGGCCCTTCTGCCCGCCCCGCAGAGACGCTTCTCTCCTGCTCCTTCCTCTCCTCCACGGTAGCTCCACTCACTGGAGCTTCAGAGTTTGGGAACCTCGAAACGGGCCAAGGTGCAGGCACCGCTGGCACCCACGTGTCTGCTTCCCAAGCGCAGGGGTCACTGGTACAGAGGTTTCATAATGGCCTACTGAGAACTCAAGTATAAAACTCAAGGCCGAGTTACCATTCTTTTTGCGCACAGCTCACGGAATTTCCTCAATGCAAAGGTGTTTTAGGAGTCAGGCGTCATTTTGTGTGAACGTCACTGTTGGCCACTGCCAGACTCCGACCTTCAGCCCAGCCTAGAGCTGCGACGCGCCCTGGGCTCTAACGCCTCCCTCCCTGGCCCAGAAAGGCAACCCGAAGCGGGAGCAACGATGGCTGCCGCTGGGCCCTGCGGCTCTCCTCCCTCGCTCCCTGCTCCCTGCGTCACTCACCAAGCGGCGCAGCGGCGGCAGGGCCTGCAGGTCGCAGCAGGCACGGAGCAGCGCGCGGCCGCAGCCGGGCAGCTCTGCGGAGGAGACAGCAGTTAGGGGGCGGCTCCCCGAGCCCCGCAGCCTCCCGCCTGCCGGGAAGGTGCTCCTGGGCAGCACACGGGCTTACAGGGTCCTCCTGCTTCGGCGGGAAGGGGTGAGGGAAAGGGGAGGTGCTGTTTGGAGGGGCCCTCGGTGCAGCGCCCTGCGGAGGGTGTTCTGGAAACCAAAGCAACTCAAAGCTCTTCTGAGGGCTCCCCAGAGCTCTTGGCAGAGGCTGATCCACCCTCTCCTTGTCAACCACAGTCCACCTCCGAGTTTGTACCACAGAACGGGGTGGGAAGGGTACAAAGCCCAGCACTGACAGCCCCTGCCCTGGAGACAAGTCTCATTCAGGCTGGACAAGTGATTTGGGCCTTGGATAAAATAAGACCCTCTGCTCCCAGCACCAACAGGAGATGCTGACTTCAGCAGAAGCACAATTTGGGCAGGCTCAAATAGCCGACCCCTCCTTGGGGCAGGGAGATGGACCAAATGGATGGTGCCCTTCAGCTCTGTGACTCAAAGGCTGCAATTCCTACTGGAAGCAACAGGCTCAAAGCAGCTCCCGATTCCTCAGTTACGCCTGGACAGCAGCAACAGGCAGCCCGTGCAAAGGCAGGTGGGGACACAACACACTCAATTAACCAGCCCTGCAGTTAACAGCAGGTGACAAGTGCTACTACACCAGTGGCTCCCTGTTTTCTATTTCTGTTGCCTCTCTACAAATGAATTCAGCCTTCCTGCCTGGGTGCTGTTGGTACAGGCGTGCACAGGGGCATTCTGCTGCACATGCCACATCTAACTAATATCACACTGGACTCCTTTGTTGTCTTAATGTCATGAAACCCTCTATATAACAGAAGGGAAAAAAATAAGGAAAGAACTGTGGTGCCAGCCAGCTTGTGTAAATGGCATTTGTTTGACATTTACATTTAATAATCTTTTTCAGTAGCAGCAAAACAATCCTCTAATTGCAGTGCCTCTGTGCTAAATTCATTTGTGCTAAATATATTTTACGCAGCAACAATATGTGCTGCTATGCAGAAGACAGCACCTAATCTGCAATCCTCAGGATTTAGGTGGGAAGAACTCTGGCATGCAGCAAGCCCAGGAACGGGCTTGCCAAACTGAAATGCCTGCTCTGAACAGAAACTCGAGTTGAGCAGTCTTGGGGGAATGTGTATTTTACAAGCAAAATCTGTCAGTGATGGAGGACTGAATTGAACTCGCTGCCAGAATGCCAAACACCATGAACCATCCCCATAAAAAGGAACAGAGCAAACTACCCTCGCTGAGCTCACCAACTGCTCCAAAAGAGCAATAGCTGCTTTGTACAGAGAGAGCTTCCAGAGTGAGGAAGGGCTTTTCTCTTCGTTCCTGGCATACCCGAGATGGCGCTGACGAGGAGGTGAGCGGCTGAGAAGAGGCCCTCGTGCTCCAGCTGGTACTTCTGCAACGGTGGCTCATCCTGCAGCCTGCACCCTAAGAGCTGCAAGACGTCRTCCAGCTCTTGTTGCTCTGCAGGTTTGAGCTCCTTCAGATCAGGCCTGTCTCCTGTGCAGATATCATCTAACTGTAAGAAAAGAGTAAGCCAAAGCAACTTGGAAGAGCAATGTTTGTGCAAAAAGAAGTGCTAGCTCTATTTTGGCATTCCTTTCAGGAAGCAAATCAAAGTTCCTGCATCTTACCACATCTTCCAGGGCAGTTACCATGTCTTCCCGGAGCAAGAGCTCACACAGGGTTTTATACAAAGCTCTTCGCTTGTCTTCTGGCAGCTTCGCGAGGGGCTGGAGCTCCGTGCTCAGCTGGGACAGATCTTTCCCAAGAAAGCAGCAAGAAGTCACACTAAGGATTGCTGCACAAATCCCAGTGAAAACAGTTAACATTTTTGCTACGAGTTTTAATAGCTAATTTATCACCACATCTTGACATCCTGATTTCCATCTGTGCAAGTCGTAATTAAATGCTGGAACACATTTCATTATATTTCCCTAATGAGTCAATGAGGCATCAACAAAACTTCTGACAAAAAAATAAATACAGCTACTAGGGACCAACACTGAGTGTTCACCACTTTGATGTGAACTGAAYTAACCACTGCCTGTTTCATTTTAATTTGTGTCTCACCTGAAAGTTCATCTCCAGAGAAAGTTCATTAAAGCAGAGCAGGGAGTTCTGCTCATAACCTTCCTTCTCAACAGGGGTTAATATGAATTACCCAGCCCAAATACTTTACGATAAGCCTGTGACCAATAAGCTCAAAGAAAATAAGTTTTTGGAGTCAACCATACYAACTGGAAGGTTGGAATGTGTTTTYCCACATTCCAAAAATATGGGCATGCAAGCAATCTTAACCTTGTTTAAAAGAAATTAAAGAAATTTCCCTTCATGCCACTCTGGACACAAAATGTGCTCTCTTTAAGGATGCCTTTTATATCTAAAAATTCCTCCATTGGGGGGAAAAAAAAAAAAAAAGAGAGAGAGACCCAGCCACAGGCAGATTTTTTTCTATCTGATGCAATTGTATGACTGCCCAGCCAAATAAAAGAGCAAAAATCAGAGCAGAAAACCCGCTTGAAGTTACTTCAGTAGAAACCTTTTTTGTTTAGTCCTTTTAAGAGGTAGTTCCAGTTAAATTATAAAAGGAAACCTGCAAGTCCCGTAAGCAAGAAATGCACAAAGGTCTGTCAAGCTACCACACAAGCCAAAGCCTTGTGGCACAGCGCCCTTTCATTCCAAAGTATCTTCTTTATCCACAGAGATGCACTCATTCCTCTCAAACGACTCTACATTAAACTAGGGCAAAACTTACTTCAACACAACAAATAACTATTTTGGTCAGAGTTAGTCTACTGAAGAAGCCATGAACAAATGGTTAAATACAGTGACAACAAATGCAGTGTTCATCATTGGAAATAGCTGTAGGAATTGCAGTGAGAACTGCTGGAAAGCAAAGGGCTTGGTGCTGACATCTTGGGCATGTTTTCCTTTTTTTCCTTTCCTCCAGACTAACGGCTTTACTTGGGACAGCCCTGATTCTTCTGCACAGTTTCCAAATTATGAACCAATGAATTCAATGACTCTTTTGAATTAAAACATAAATCATTACCAATCTTACAGAGCTGGGCTGGAATTGAATAGAACTGACATCAAAACCTGATTTTGAAAGATCTTATTTATGACAAAGGGATTCAGCATGCTCTTAGGAGACAGTCCACTGCATGTAACTGTTCCAGARGTAAATGTTTTCTTTTGTTTCCAAGCATTCCCCCTGGAGTTCCTGATAAGCACTACGAAAATGAACTAACATCATTTCTTATGGATTATTGTACCAGAATATTTCCCTCTACCATGTTACTTAACTCACTGTAATGCAATCATGTAAAGCAGCATTTTTGGTAATACCTTGTTTCAAGACGCTTAAGGAAGCCTCACTGGGAATGTGGTTTGCCTCCCCGGAGTATGTCTCATTATCAACTGCATCTGGTTGATAGAGGGGAGAAGCCTCCCCAAACAGTGCAGAACGGGGAGAAGCGGAGCCTTCTGCACCTTCTCTTTCAAAGCCTCCTTGCTGCTCGTCCAGCAGACAGAATTCTGCAATTAAAATTCAATGCAGGAATCATGGAAGTACACGAGCAAATACTGACCGAGATGCTGCTTTATAGTAGCTGGTATTTGTGCACAGGGTTTTGCTGTGTCTCATCTGTTCCAGGTGGAAATAATGCCCAAACCTGCATGTTCTGTGAGCCACCCAGCATCACTGGGGCCTYGTGTCTGGAGCACAGACATGGAGTGCACAGCCAGAGGCTGCAGGGAGCTGCAGCTACCCCATACAAAATGGGACACCAACTTGTGTGAATTAAAGGAGTGAAGTCCACAAATAACACAGCTACAAATAACTGTAAAGCTGAATGGTGCRCACAAGAAAGGGAGACAAGAATTCTCTGCTGCTTCTACCAGGTAGGAGATGCCCTACAGTGCTAGCTAGGGAATGCACTCATGGCAGGGACACACAGGAAAACACTTCTTGGAATGCACAGGAAAACACTTCTTGAGATTCACAGACACCTCTGTGTGGGTCCTCCCCAGAGCCTTCTCTGGCCGTGCTATCAACAGACCCCTCTTGGAATCAAGTCCAGATCTCTTGCCGAGTCCTCCTGCTGAGTGGAAAATGGGCTTCTTGGAGCAAATCTCTTAAGGACTTYGCCCAGTGACACCCAGGACCAGAATCACCCTTTAACACAGTGTCTCTCAGGGAAGTTCATGGGGAAAACACTGCAATCCTGCTGGATTAACCTTTCTAGATAGACTTTGAGAGAAAAATAAATAAAAAGACCAAGCAAGGACTGGTCAACTCTGCCTTTCCCAAGGCRGACTGTGAGCTCCTGCCACCACCCAGCCTTGCCCTCACCTCTGCAGGTGAGCAACCCATGCCCAGGTAGCCAGGGAGCCTCTTCAGAGCTGCACTGAGCGATCTGCCATGTCAAGGTCTGTGCTCAAGCCTCCAGCTCCRTGCCTCCAAGCTGGGGCAAATAACCAAAGCCCCACGCATTGTTTTGATCTTCTGTTAGTGGTTGAGACGCGAGATTTGCAGCTGGACCCACAGCACCGCAGCGGGGCTAGCGAGGGGAGCACAGGCAGACTGGCAAGTGAAAGTCAATTTTAAAGTAATAGCTGCTAGCAAAGGAAAAAAAATATAACTAATCAAGCACAGTGCTCACATGTACCAGGCACAAAACCTAAATATAACCTTCCTGCAGTTGTAACAGTCTGTCTCACCAAATTAAGGACATTCAAAGCAGATGAGAAAGCACAGAGAGCACTCCAGCAGCAAAGAGCACTTTCAAAGGGAGAGCAGAAAAAGAAATCTCTGCCACAGAAAAAGACAGACACCCTTTTACTCCTGTTGCCCACACAGGGCTGCCCAAAGAAAAGCAGCTTTGGYGGAACAGAGAGTGATTAACACAAATTAAAAAGAACCTCCCAGAGCAGCACAGCTCGGGACAGCAGCCAAGCACCGTAAGGCCCCTCTGCTCCTGTGGCTTCCGCTGGTACCAAGAGGCTTTTCTGTGGACCCTGAGGAGGAAAACGGAGCGCAGCAACCACCCGCCCTCTGAGGCAGAATGGTGCTAACAAGGAAACAGGCACAAGCACCAAGGGCGCACACACTGCGCCCTGCACACACTGCTAAATTTGGTAGCAGGGCTTAATTCAGAGGTAAATACTCGAAGCTTTGTATTATTAGAATTCTGTATTAATTTTATATCCCATTAATTCCAGCAGGCTCTTTCAAAGAAGAAGCAAAAAAGGAGAATGTACATGATACTGGGGTGTTTTTGTTTCAAGACGCAAACTATTAAATTCTATTAAGCTATTAAATTCTCTCACAAATCAATGATAGAGCTCCACCAATACAGAYAAATCCTGACAATTATTTGAAAGGAGATTAACAGAGATACAGAGACGATCAAGGAAAAGTATCAGAGATGAAAAGAGGTTCCTGTGAGTGGAAGCAGAGCAGTCAGGAGGGTTTGAGAGTAACAGAGTACTCTGCAAGAGTAACAGAGCAACACAAGTCAATGGGTGCTGCTATTTATGCAGTTTGGTAAAGCAGGAGCAAGGGAGCTTGCAGTGAAACTGGAAGGGACAAACTGCAAAGCCTTTAACAGGAGCTGCTTTTATATCCAATGGATAACTAGCCTCTAGAAACGAAACACACCAGGAATGATTAGAGGAAAATATCGTGATACAGGAATTAAAGGAATTAAAAACATATCAGGTTTTTGTTTTCTTTTTTTAAAAATAATGGCCAGGAATGCCTAGTCATTTGAGCACGGATATTTTTAGGAAGGCATATAGACCGTACAGWATAACTCAAGCCCTGACTGTCAATGGCAAAGAGAAAGGAATAAAACAATAAAACTTATATGCATCTTCTTTTACAGTTATAGGTGAAAGAAACCCACTATGTTATACCTGCTGTTGGCCACTTGCAGAGCCATGAAAAAAAGGGCTAGATTGGTTTCTGAATTTACCTTTAGAGGCTATTTTTGTTGCCATAAACAGACACTGACCACTGCTCAGACAGCAAGAAGTTGAAGACCAGGCTTCACTATACTTATTTTTAGTGGCAAATCCCTAATTGTGATGTTAGTTCCTCCACTTTGACTTGTCATTGATAGTGAGGAAAGAGGAAAATGAGCATGCTAACAAATAAAAAGGAAAAGATGGAAGATGTGTGTCGTTTATGTTGAAACAAGACTTTATTTTGAGGCTTAAATGATGAGAAAATTAAATATGAAAACAAGATAGGGCAAGAGTGGCAAAAGCAAAGGGGAATGCAGATCATTAACACCACCCATGTTTTAATGATCAGCTAGCAGGTCATAAGAAGTTCTATTTGGAAATCACCTAAGTAGGCTGCCTGTTACGCACCTACATGGTCTGATAGCATTAATTGCACCTGATTACTCTGAATTACAGCTCTATTAGAACTGTGAAGTCAATGCCCTCTGACGTATCTCCACGCTTACCTTATGTCAAGGCAACTCCCAATTTAAAAAAAAAAAAAATTATTTACAGGTTACATGATGTTTATTTACGTTCCTGACCTACAGGCTAACTTATTCTCAGAAGTCTGCTGAAGAAGGATGGGCAGTATCACCTGCATGTTTTATCCCAGTGAAGTGCATCCTGGATTCAATCAACACCTGCACTTCACATATTTCTTCAATGAATCTCTTTTTTTCTCCCCATGTTAGTCCTTTTCAATTTCTAGTCCCATCCAGTCCATCTGATTCCATTCTTTCTTGCCTARTATCACCTGAAAGCTGCTTTAGGTCTGGGACTTTGACTGAGGATGGGCAAAGAAAAAATAAAATCTAGATGTTGTTGGAAAGCAGAATTACTCTCTCTTCTCTTCCCAAAGCCAAGAAAATGGAGGGGACGGGGGAACTTCAAAGGCTCTGACTCCCTGCTCTGAGCTGCGGCTTAGATGACCTCCGGTGTCCTTTTCAAATTGAATTATTTAATGAGTCTATGATTTATGTAGATTTGTGAAAAAGCACTTTTAAATCAGATAAGCAGCACTTCACACCACTGCTTTTGCTTAAGTGCAACTATCAAGGAAATGGACATAACACATGATTGTCATGTTGGTACATGGGAAATAAAAACATTGACCCAGAGAGGGTTCTTTTCCACAGCTGAGGTAAGTGCCCAACAAACCGAACTCCCTACTTACCAAACTGGCCACTCTGCTTTATGTACAACTCAATGACACCATAGGCAATAGCAGTGCCTGGAGGAATCTCAAGGAYCACGCTGGAATCCTTCATTACGCTTCCATTTTCACTCACTGAAACCTAGAGAATAGGTTTATTCAAAGTTTGATTCATTTATTCTGTAGCTTATGCACAAACTTAAGAATCAAAAGAAAAGGCAGAGAAAGAACTTGCTTCATTCTCCACAACATTTGACTGAAGTACATGTGATATTTGACACTTATGGAAAAAAAAAYAATAAAGCTACACAAGCAGYAAGAYTGAGGTGCCAGGAGAAGCTCTCAGACTTTCATCTTCCCTCTTCCAGTATAAAGCTGAGCTCCARGCCCCAAATTCACTGTTGCTTCACATGAACGAGAAACACTGTGTCTGGGGAATCTGGGATGCAGTTCAGTGCCCTGACCTACCCTCTGTCCTGGACACCTTTCCTGCCCAACCACAGACGTGTACCAGGGAGGTGGTATTGGCACAGGAGGCCCTGAAACTGCATTTCCCAAATTTCTGCCAGTGGAGACTCCCTCTACATCAGAAATGATTCATTTGCTGCTTTAAGAACTTAAAACAAATAAGCACATATTGCACTTTGGTAACTTTTTCTTAATTTGTAGGCATTTTTTTCCAGATGTCCTCATAATGCAGTTAATCCCTACTCCCCTGACCACAACCAAAGAGCTTCTCAGAAATCATAAAACTCAGGAGATACYGCAAATAGTTTTCATGAATGACTACTTGGCTTTTCAAATGAATTTGTTTCAGTAATGCTTTTGCTCTTTAACATGCACTGAATTGTTACATTTGTTCCTCTGATGTTTTGCTGTTGGCAGGAAATCTACATAGAAACTTGAACTGCAATTTGGGAGTGTTGATGGAAAGAACATTCCCAACTCGCACTAAAAGCTGGCACCTTTAGTCAGTGAGGTAAGAGGGAAAACATTTTACCTTTTTGAAGTCTCACAGCTAAGCAGGGTAATGAGTTCTTGCAACTGACAGAATTTGTTAAAAAAAAAAAAAAAAACTGAAATCTATTTGGAGAAATCGTAATTTTTTCCTCGGATAATCTGCAGGTTTAGCTAGAAAAGACATACTATTCCTTGAAGATTTTTTTACCTTTACTACTTTCGTACTCCATCCCACGACACCACTGATTCTCTCTTCTGTCTGGATATGTTCAGATATCACACACTTCTGAGTTGTTACTATCTTTTCTCTCAAGATGCAGAGCACTTCGTGTTTTCTTTCTATGACTTGTTGCAGTAGGTTATTGTTTAGATTTATTGTTCTGAAATAAACAAAGACACTAGTAACAACATAAAGACTAGAACTGAGAAAACATGTTCTTAATTGTTTAAAAACAGCCTTTCAATAAGCTTTTATTGCAAAATAACAATGCTTTCTATATAAGCAACCTCCCCAAAATTACCATGTCCTCTTTTGTTATTTGGAAGCAGCAAGACTACAAATATCTGTATTACCCAGTAAATCCCTACACACATATTGAATTCCTGATTCTTTCAGGAAGAAGAAAAAAAAACAGAAAAAAATAAAGTCATTTATTTGGCTATTTTCATTTAAGTGAAAAAAACAACAGAGAACTAGAGACTACTGAGCTGCTGGTGTAACATGCAAACAACCATCCCAGCCAGCAGACACTGGAGTGAATCCTTTGCCACTGGGAATTCKGAGGGACATTACCAGGGCTATGGCCAAGGATGCCAGTCAGGCATTCCCTTCRGAGCCTTATGTTAACAGAGATTCAGTGAATCGATGGATTGAATGGATGAGCTCTGTTTAGAGGGAGTGATTTTTGTAACCCTGACCCTCTTTTCCTTCCAACATCCCYGTAGTTCTTATTTTTTGGCTTCTTATCTGCCCAGATCAAGATCTGTTCCTTCCCTATGTTCATTCACCTCAGGTTTGTGGGAGCCAGTCAGCTTCCCAGTCCCATTTCACTGGATTTTCTACCCTCAAAGGAGACCAAAAGCTCCCAATCTTTAAATTTTCCTGATTATCACAGCGCCTGGTTTGCCCTTTCCAGCCTTGTGCAGCCAACACCAATCTCGTTGACCTCCTCCTTGTCCCCATTTAGTTCTCCCATTCCTGGGATTTAGAAATGGGAAATTCCTGGGATTCCTCCCATTCAGTCCTCCATTCCCTCCGTATGGGAAGCTACTTCTGCCTGCAGCAGCTGTCCTGATGTCTGGGCTGTCTCTGGACTGCAACAGCTTGAGGCAACTGAGGTTGCTCTCTGGTGGGGCATGGAAGCACCGCTCCCAAATTCTTGCTACACATTGTGAGACACCAAAATTTTTGTCATGGGAGGAATAGCACACAAGGACRCCAGAGACTTATTCCCAGTCCTTGWAGCCCACTGCTGAGCTGTGAGCAGAAGCAGCCTGCTACAATCAGCCCCACCACACAACACAGTTCAGCACGTGTTTAAATGCTCCTGAAGTTCTTCCTATAACTATGTGCTTAGAATGAGCAGAAGGAAAAAACATCTCGTCCCAAGAACTGCAAGAATTGATTGTTTTCTAAGAAAAAGGCGACAAAAATTCATACCACATATTCTGGGGTCAGTAAGAGTCTTTCTGGTAAAGCAACTTGTTAACTACCTTCCATTGATTAAAACACATCAAGTAGACTACACTTTTGCAAACACCCACTGGAGGTGCTCAGATAAGATGTCGTGTTTTCTATTAACAGACAACTCTGGCAAGACCACTGGAAGATTAGAAGATTGCTATCCCTGACTGAAGCTATTCAGGCTTTTCTTCTCCATTCTACTGTAACTGGCTGTTCATAGGGCTAAATGGCAATTCCCCAAAACTGTGATAGAAAGGCATGTTCTGATTCCAATTTATTTAAATCAAGATATCCTCTGCTTTTTAATTAAAAAGTTTTAGATTTATTAGATTCTTGGGTTTTGGATTTATACAGTCTGTATAACTCAGAAGTCATCTCGATTCTTTGTTGAATTAAAAATATCCTGAGGCAATTTTTGATCTTTGGAGAGTTATGTGCTTATATGAGAGTTCAATCATTTGGAATGAACTGTCTGAAAAACTTAAGGCTGATGGCTCTAAAAAGAGAACCAAAATACCTCCGAAGCAATGCAAAAGCCACGGCTAAAGCTCCCCAAACATTCCCCAGATTATTAATAGAACTTTCTTTTCTCTTTTAGTGCAGAGCCATGCTTGATGCTTGGAGTCTTTGGAGCAAGTGAAAAAATGAAAGAATTGTCAAACGATCACAAGCGCTGCTGTCCTTAGAAGTTCCTGCCAAAATGCAGCTATTAATTATCATTATATCTTTTTCCAGATCATGTCTATTACATAATTTGCAATAATTATCATTCTGAAGAGATGTGCTAAGAATCCTTTAAAAATAATTAAGGCCTGGGGAACCTGCAGTTTTAGCACACAACCAAAGAGGCCACGTGGGAAGAAATATAATTAAGATGCCCAAAAAACAATTTGCCACTTGCTTTCCGATCATACACCTCATGCCTGCTCTAGGCATGCCTAGGATGACAAACACAAAAGGATATCCTCAAAGTTGAGCATAAGAGACAAGACCAACAGAAGGTACCAAACCACAGAGCTACTTGCCTGGGCTCCCGCAGATGTGGCCACAGAGGTCACACAATCACAGGATGGTTGAGGTTGGAAGTGACCTCTAGAGATCATYCCGTCCAACTCCCTGCTCCAGCAGGGACACCCAGGGCACAGGGCGGCATCCAGGCGGGTTTGGAAGATCTCCAGAGAAGGAGACTCCACAACCTCCCTGGGCAACCTGTGCCAGGGCTCTGTCACCCTCACAGGGAAGAAGTCCCTCCTCACATGGAGATGGAACTGCCTGTGTTTCAACTTGTACTCATTGCCCCTTGTCCTATCACTGGCCGCTACCAAGAAGCRTTTGGCCCCTTCCTCCTTACATTCTCCCCTCAGGTATTTATACACATTAATCAGATCTCCTCTCAACCTTCTCTTCTCCAGGCTAAATAGGCTCAGCTCACTTAGTCTTTCCTCATAAGATAGATGCTCCAGTTCCTTAATCATCTTGGTAGCTCTCCACTAGACCCTCTCTAGAGGTTCCACATCCCTCTTATACTGGGGAGCCCAGAGCTGCCCCCAATACTCCAGGTGGTCCTCACCAGAGCTGAGGAGAGGGGCAGGATCTGCCTTGACCTGCTGGCAACATCCTCCTGAAGCAGCCAGGATCCCACTGGCCTCTTTGGCCCTGAGGGCACTGCTGCCTCATGGTTAATTTGGTGTCAACCAGGACTCCCAGATCCCCCTCTGTGGGAGCTCCTTAACTCAGGTAACTCAGTTAACTGCTGCACCAACTTTACTGAGCACAGGGGCACAGTGTTTAAAATCACATGTCCTCACCCAACCCTTACAAACACTTGTTCTTCTGGAGTTCTGCCCCTGAGCTGCCTGTGGCAAACACCGGTGGTGCGGCGGGGGACAGAGCAGACTCCTCTCCCCGTCGCAGGCCACGCGATGCTGACTCAAGCAGATGACAGCCCGAGGTAAATAAACACCCTCCTTATCTAAATTGTCTTCAAAAATAGGCATCAAGGGCAAAATGCAAAAGGGCTGAAGTTCAACGGTCTGACTAGGGCTTAAAATATTGAGGGGCAATGGCTGCCGAACGCACAAGTGTGCAGGGCTGAACTCGTTGGCTGGAGTGACAACCTGAGTGTCAAGAACAGCAAGATGGCCAAGTTAAATGGCTAAGAACCCCCACGTGCACCTGCAAGTGCTTCCTTTATGCTACAGGCCACATTTCAGAGCTCTTATTTCTGCTCTGCCACCATCACTCTTCTCATCTCTTTCACAGTTTACTGTATGGGAGCCCTCACATACCTTTCAGGGATTCGAGGAGGATACTGCATTCTTGAGAAGCTGAGCTGAAACGTTCAAAAGGGGACACTATAAAATACAGCGAGAAGTCGTAGTCCTAAAACCCACTATCAACACACAGATTATGAAATGGTATGAAGAAAGATCATTTAAAAGATAAAGGAGGGAGTTGTTCAGTTGTTTGCTCTTTTTAAATAACCTTCTTGAGGTCAATGATTTACTCYGCTGGGTAGATTTATGGGCCACATATGAACGGAAAAGAATTTCTTCAGACTTTTGGTCTTACTTTGCTCACATTTAGTTGTATTACAGATTTCTATTATTCTATAGTGCAAAGAAGGTTTCCTTCTTTTTAACATTTTCCTTCTTGCATGAGGAAAGAAATGGAAAATATGCAGGCATAAAAGGCAACTTGCTGCTGCTCAGAAGTGGGAAAGAAGGGGGAAGAGTCAGAGGCCAGCAGAAGGGAAGAGAAAACAGACAGGATCTGGAAATACAGCAGGCTCTTGCCGATCATATGCCTAAAGCCAACAGCTAGTTTTCCTTCATACATAGGATCCCTGACTGAACTACCCACAGGGAGGACAGACCTGGACCATTTTTCCATGAAATCCTGTATAAACTTCCCAGAAACGCATCCTGCAAATCCTCCAAGCAAGGTGCTTACCAAGTCCCTGTGACTACCGAAAGTGCCGGTTGCCACAACTCACTTCCCTTGACTCTCACAGTAAGGTCAGCACATTTTCCTGGATGCAAATAGTTTAATTAGCCTAAATTATCCACCCTGAGTGACAGCATTGCACAGCTTGCCCTGCAGAACCACCTGTGAGGTGGATATTTCATAGAACATCTTCCTCAAGAACATCCCAGGCTTTGCAGAGTACAAATGGCAGCTATTTCCTATTCAGCATCCTCTTTATTTTTAAATCACAGATACACACTGATTTTATTCAGTCCTGTGTCATCACATTCATAAAGCTCATGGAACACCTTTGTGGGAAAGCTGGTTCTCTCACCCTGCTGCTCATAAATGCCCACAGAGTTTCATAGATCCGTAACAAAAGGTTCATTTTTGAATGAGACTTCAAACCTGCCCTGACAGGTCAAGCCAAAGAGAAGAAGAGGGAGATCTCTGCACACAGTGAGGCTAATGGGCTCAATCTCCACTGTGCTCATCCCTAATATTGTCCCCTTTCCTCTCAGATGATTGATTGAACCTTTGAAAGCACATCTTGAAGGGAAATATATAAGAAGATAAAACAGTAAAAAAAAAAAAAAAAGAAAAAGAAAAACCTTTCAACCACATCAGAGTTCACTACTACTACTATTTAGCCTGTTTTTAACAAGCTAATCATGAACTGGAAAAATCATTCCTATGAAACCACGGAAATGCAAACAAACCTGTCTTTTCTGCCCACTTGGAGCTTCTATTTTAATCTCCTAACCCAACTCAGTAACATGATAAAAACAAACGAGTGAACTGTTAATCCAGGAGAACTAAAGAGATTAGATCCTGCCTATAGTCATTTTTACTGGAGGGGAAAACACACTCATAAATCCAGAACAATCTCTTCAAGTTTGGAGTGTAGGACTGTGCCCTAAAATCAGTATGTTACAGCACCCTGTGAATTAGCATGCTAATAGAATAATAATAATAATAATAAAAGCATAAATAATGTATCATAAAATAGGCAAATGTACCTTTTCTATAACATTCTCTCCACTGGTAGAAACAAAATTTCTAATCTGGACTGATACTGGCTTACTCCAGATGCATGCTAGTTTTCCAGGCCTGGTACACACTTTAATCCCAGTATTTTCTGTTTTCAATACAGAAAATTTCATTTAATACAAAGATAGCACGGTGCCTTTTTTTAAAAACAAGTTTGATGCCTTTTGAATCCCCATGAGAAACAGCACAACGGGCCACTGTCCCCAGGGAGATGCAACATTGATTATTTCTAGAATATCTGTTTAACTAAAGAAAATGCACCCAGTTTCAGACAACTTTTGCATGGAAAACTAAGAGCAACCATCATCTTTACCAGCACATCATTAGGAGAGGCTACTAAGATGCATTACACCAGCTCCTACAGCTCTTAGGCTCGGGCTAGTCCCAAGCACTAACCCCCCTCACCTCCTGTGTGAGCCAAGCACTGCCCCACAGAGCAGACCCTGCCTGCAGCTGGCTGCCAAGCTGGGCTTTGCTGCAACATCAACTCAATCACACTTCAGCCTAGGCTCTGGCATATCTCGTAAAATTAAACTYAGAGCTTAAAATATCTGTTTTTCTCAGTTATTATTTTGTATAACAGAGATCAATAGTTCTGTAAGATGGTTTTTGTTACACTACTTGAACGTGTAATCACCACGGTGCTCATCTTTTCGGGTCTTTTCTCTCAGCTTCAAATAATTCCATTGTCTAGCCAAGTCTCTCACAAAACAAAGTAATTTAAAGCCTTCTTACAAGAATATTGGTAGTTCTGAATTCAGTTTCTGTAGCATTTACCCCAGAAATGCAGAGAAGCCAATTCATTTTCTTCCAGATGGMTACTTTAATACAATTTCCCCAGAGGAAGAAGGATTTGAGCCTTGTCCCACATGGCAATTCATGCAAATACGTATTTCCTAACAGCTGACAGCTTGACTGTGCCACTCTAAATCTCTGCTACTAAACAAGAGTTTATCCATTAAATCCACTGATTTATTGAGACTGTGTTAACAGCAGTGAGACGCCTATAAAATACAGGGGAAGGATCTGATCACCAAGCTTTCAGGAAGCTAAAAGTTTTCATTTTGATATGCATGATTTATGGAAAACTTCAAGTGCTCAAAAATGACACTTTACAGGAGAAGTAACTCTTCAACTGTGAAAACAGTGAAGAAATTAACTGCTTAGGAATMACATCAGCCCAAGCCTTTTACTTAATCTAAGCTCTAATCTTTCTTGGCCTTTACAATGGCAACATTACAAACATACCTTCCCTTGACGTCTCTCATAAGCTGCTGCAGATCAATCTCCTGCTTCCTCAGGTTTCCAAAGGAAGACTGGCTTTCCACGTAGCCCTTCCCTCCGACTCCCAGGCTGATCTTCCCAAACGAAGTATCGATACTTCCTTGAGCAAAATCTCCAAATCTCCCCACGTATTTCACAAAGTCAGACTCTACAATTACTAGGAAAACAATAAAAGTAATTTCAACATGTGAAGACAAAGAAGCATCAGTAGTAGCTGAAAAACAACAAGAATCTTGCATTAAAAATTGGTCAATGAAAGCAAGGAACAGTACCAAGCAGGTAAATTAAGGCTTCCATTGCTCTGCAATTCTTAATTCTTCTTCCTCCATATTTTCATCATCTTTGCTCTGCTGGTCTTTGTTATTTTGCTATTTTTGGAGAAACCACAATGACTAAAATGTGGTTTCATTTCACACGTGGTTTCAAGATCAAATGCTATGGAAGACTTGCAAAGCCAAACAGAAATTTATTTTGACTAAAAGGCAAAAACTACAAAGCAGAACAGTTTGCATTGTTTGCTTCATATTTTTCCATTACCTTGAGGTATCTCATTATAAGCCTGTCCCAAAGCTCATCAAAAACCAATGGGATAATCTAATGGTATACACATATGTGAAATTCTGAGTTTGTCTTAAACCACAGAACACACTCAGAGAATCAGCTGCTCTTCCAAGCTGGCTACAAGTAAAATCTGCACCCACGGACTGATCTCTTTTCCTCAGTTTTCCTGTATGGAAATCATGACATGCCCAGAAATATTCCTCCAGATTGTCCCTCCTATGCCTTGGTTAAGACCAGAGAGCTGGATGAAGGAAGAAGCACGAAGGGTGCCCATTTTTACATGTGCAYAGGAAGGAAGGGAGCAGCGGTGAACGTCACTTGGCGCTGCCTGTTCGAGCAGCCCTGCTGTCACCAATGACCCCCTGTTCACCCAGAGCACCCTCATCCTGAGCACTGCACAGGCCCATATTCCTGTCACATCCTGGAGTCCCCAGGAGATGTCCCAGGGAGGCTCCTGAGATGGCAGAGAGGATGTTATCAGCGGCCCTGTAGGGCTCCATAACCTCCAGCGCTCAACTGCACCAGTCTCTCTAGACAAAAGTGTCCTTTAAAAAATGAACACAGTGTGGTTTCCAGCRAAAGCAACAGTCAAGTGCAGAAAATATCCAGTCACCCCATTTCTAAGAACAGGGAATACCTCAGATATTTACCTTATATAATACTTTACCTGGTTTTATAGGTTTGTCCTCAGTTAGCACATCGCTCAGTGTGACCGTCAAGAAATGGTACTTGGGCTTCTGCCAGCACCAAAATTTCTTCCTCTTGGTAACCAAGCTCAGAAGCTGCAGCTTGTCAGAGGCGTTCAAGTGGGAGACAGGGATCAAGTCACCTCCACCGTCAGTTTCCCTCACAAAAKTCTTTGTTGCCTTTGCAAACATCTTGGAGAATCACCCAAAGCCTGAAAGATTAAACTTGTTTTTAAACTACAGTTGGAAAGTATAAAATGTTTACATTTTTCACTTTCAAAAGTTCTTTGTAGTAGTTAGTCTTTTCACATCACCTTCTGCAGACAGTTGGGAATCAACAGTTTGAATAACATTCAAAAACAGTAAGACTGCTATCKTATTACAGAATTTTAATTTGAATCTTAAATATGCAGCAGTGAATAAATAAGGAAGACTATATTACAAATATAGCATGAAAGGTTTCCATGTTACAATAACAGTGCATGCATGACATTTAYGATCATGCGGATAATGGAAGAAAATAAACATGTGAGAACTGATACATTCCAATACAAAACAAAAAATAGTCTTTCAAAGAGCACTCACATGTAATTAGTCTGTTAGGGAGGAAAAACTTACCCAATTTACCTGAAGTTCTGAGAAAAAGCTTCAAAGCAAGTGTGGGAGCACCAACTAATGAGCATCCTGCAGACACCCTCGGCAATCATGACAGCACAGATGCAATGGCAGAAAATTCCTGTCTCCACATAGGACCCTTCCTTTATTACCCTACTGCCAACATAAAATGACCTTAAACTGCATGAGCTAAGTGAATACTATTCATACAAATTATCTTGATTATAACGATGAGTAAACACATCTAGTGGCAATAAAAATATCCTGTAAGATGCAACAAAAATTGCACTGGTTGATCTATGACTAAGCTGGCTTTCTGAACTGYGCCCATAGAAAGCCCCAGTTCACCCTACTTTCTGACCCTTTCTACATTCMATGTTTTCTATCTTCTTTACTGCCCATTAGCACAACTACAGGTAAAACGAAAATATGCTGCCTGCAATGTTATTCATAACTGCTAAACTGTTACTTAGGTTATTGTACTCTGTCTTTTAAATTTACCTTAAAAATATGGGCATCTCTTCTTGTGTAACATTTCCCTTGTTCCAAGCCATTTATTTTTCTGTGTTTACAGGGAACTTTTTCAATACAGGAAACTGATTTAATTCAATGAAGAAAAAGCTAAAAGTGACCTTTCACATAGAAGAGTTAAATATGCATTTCTAATACACAAAGTTTTAATCTTATAAAATTAAAAAAAAAATCCTTTTTAGCATTTCAACTGTTGCTTGATCTAWTGATACGGCCAGAATTAAATATATTTTTTAAGATGACAGGATGATTTTCAATTACCCAGTTGACACTGGAAACTTAAAGTAAAACCATAAAATCTCTTAGCTGCTCATCTGTTATCTTTGAAATGTTGTATCTGCACATTCTTCATTAATTACCTGTTTCTCTCCACAGAGATATCAGATTTTTCAATTATAAGTATGGACCCAAATAAGGTAGGACAGACTTCAAGCAAAGTAGGATACAGCAGTGGGCATTCTTGATTATTGTGAGAAAATGAACAACTGAGTAAAAATAATGGTCAGGCCACAGTGCTCATGCTTTAGTATCTGTACGAGGAAGAGGAAAAAAATAAAAGATTTGCAAATAGCAACCTAGCCTATTCCCAAATCCCACTGCAGAGAGTACTTCACACAGTATTTACCAGGTCGTGTTGAGGCATCTATCCTTCTTATGAAATCCCTATGGCSTCCTCCTAGCTCCCTACATAAGTGAAGTTAGTAAAGGACATTTCTCAGCAACACCAGCATGGAAAGCATTTCAGCAAAGATGAAGTCATGTAACATTTTACTCAAAAGTCTTCAGSGGCTTTCATTACAAACCCTGTTCTGCAGCACACTTGCAGAACACTTCCAGCTACACGCWCTGGGAATATTATCACTGACTTTCTGGTTCTCTGACCTTTGGCTGAACTGTGAACTGAGATTGATTTTTGCACTTTTAAATTTCTCCTCCTTAAATTTCCAGTTTTCATCTTCGTGATAACCCTTTTAACAGAATGGGTAATGGGGTTCCATTTACAACTAAAAAAAAAAAAAAAAAAAACCCTCAACACCAGCAAATGCTTTTGTGTAAGAGAAGATATAGCAAAAATCAGTTCCTATAATTTAATTGTTACACACTCAGTAAACTTCACCTCACAAGGAAAACACGTAACGCACAAAACTCGTTTCTGGTGCCTGTTGGGCTTGTACTGTGTCCTTACTCCCAATGTCCACACCTTTGACTGGCAAAGGGGACATTTGGGAGGGACTGCAGCTTGCAAATGAAACCTGCAGAGACTCACCAGGCTGGGGAGACGGCGCTGACATCAGCCACACAGTGACAGCATTAAYGTCTCCTACGATCTGCTGGGTGGGAACGTCTTTGCAGGGAGCGTATCTGCCTGCACAGCAGCACCTGCAAGGCAATAACACACTGGGCAAACTCCTCTTTACCTGGACACGGTGCCTCTAACCCAAATTCTGGGAATCCACCCACATATCTCTTTTTTTCCCACTTTTTCTCACAATTATGATGCAAAGTGCTGGAGAGCCAGTGCCAACAGSAGGAAGGCAGCGCACCTACAGGAGCGGAGCCTCCCGACTACGGGGCACAAGCGGTTGCAGCACTGCACTAGGAAAGCACTTCCCTGCTCCAACGATTTTGTCGGAGCCCTTCTTGCTTTGGCAGAGCCAAAGGGGAGGYATCCAAGCTGGTAGGAAGAGCCTGACAGCGCATTTGTTCCTCCAGACGCGGAGCCAGGCCTGGAAGCGGCTGCGGAAGCAGACGCTTTCCTTGCCAAACAAGGACCCTAAAACCAGCCGAATCTGGGTTACGGGAGGAGCGTTCGGTGAAGAGGCTGAGATGGAGCAAAGTGGTTCGGAGCAGCTTAGCTGTTCCGAAGCAAAACAGACCTTGTGCTGCCCCAGGCACTGACCACAGCTCCCTAACKCTGCGTGCTGGCGTATCAGATCCAAGGAAACCTTTTATGAGCAATAACCAGAGTTTACCTTGGCCAGTGGAAAAGTGAGATCTGCACAGGCACCCAGTATCCCTTACGTTCTGTATACACATAAAAACACACAAATAAATTTGGGGGGGGACGACGTTAACACAAGCCCACCGAGAGCCGCGGGCAGCGCAGACAGGGAGCCTGTGAGGAGGACGAGAACCAGCCACCACCACCAGCCGCCGGCTGCCCAGGGCGCCGCCAGGAAACACCGCACACGGCACRGACGGGTGCTTTAAAGGGTGCCTGAACATTACCTTCAAAGGCAATATTAAACCTCCCGCCCGCCCTCGAAAGCGGTGGCGGCCGCAGCTCTGCGGCCGCGGGGGAGCTCGGCCGAGCGGGCGGCTCCGCACGTGGCGCCGCCCCGAGCGGAGGGCCGGGCCGGGCCGGTACCGCTCGGCCGCCCTCGCTGCCCGG